CTTTTTATGGTAATAATACATGATTTCCATACCACTGTATTTCTTTCTGAATAAAGCGTTCAGTAAGCGTTTCGGTTACTTAGGCCAAATAGTAAAAATAAGTCAGATCAGTAAAAAAGGTGTTTGACTGCCCTATGCTTCTCTTAAATCAGTTATTAGGTAATCGGACAAAACGTTTGTAGCTGATTTGCACTGATATAAATAATTGTTAATCTGTCATCAAATATTTTACATATTAACATTTTTAATAAATAGCGTGTATAGATATCATTTTTATTAAACCGTGCCAACATTGGATTACAATATTAAGCACAACAATTTTACAAACTATAAAAATTCAACAGAGAAATACATATTTATATTTAGAGAATGCGTAATTGTGTGACAGAGTAGTAAATATTTTCCTAAATGCCTGACAAATTAGCTACCACACATTATAGTACACTTACGTTTTCCACATTTATCCACATGATTAGTGACCGGTACATCAGGGTGACAGCGACAGATCTTATGCACCTCATCACACACGGAGTCAGGGTAACCACACTCCATCACCGTTGAACATGTGTCACCATACATCATCTTTCCACGTTTTGAGGGATCTGAAAATTATATAATAAATGTGCTCTTACTGAAAGCTGATTTATACAGTTTTGTATTAACTTTCATTATTCATTAATTATATGCATGGAAAAAGATAAAGTTTGGTCATTTTACTTTATAGACAAGTAGGCCTTCTTTTCCTTCGCCGCATGAACAAGTATAAAATGACACAAAAAAAGTTATAGAAATTGACACATTAAGGACCTATCTGGTCGCCAAACTCCAAAAAAGTACATCGTTTCTTTCCATTTTTCGTCATAGTTTCTTGAAGTAGGGCGAAGGGAAAAAATATATAGTGGAGTTGAGTAGTTTAAAAGATCGATACACGATTTAATTAACTTCGCTAGATAGAAAAAAAATCCAAACATAGCCAATTTTTGACACTTTGAATTCATTTTATGACGAAAATGTATATATAACATGATTTTGAAATTTACACGGTATATTTTATCGCAAGCTAATTAATCCATTTCAGAATAAAAATTGATAAAATCACATTAATTTAATGTTTTACATAACTAATTGTTATTACGGGCCGGCGCGCCTCAGTGCTCCAGCTCTCCACTGCGCCCCGCAGTCCACCCCGAGACACTGACACAGCAATTCGTGCTGTGATAGGGCCTTAATAGAAAAATGCAGTGCCGCACTAACCGGGGTTCAGACGTCGAACGAACGTCGTCGAGACGAACGGGGGCGACCGCGTTACAGTCGCACGCCTAGTATTAACTACTTAAGCAATTAATTATAGACGTTTGATAATTGATCGCGTTGGAATAAGGTTAATTTGAACTAATTCTCCTTAAACTTTCTATTGTGTAGTATGAGGAAGTCCAGATTTGATAAATGGTGACCCTTTTAACACATACTTAAATTTTAGTAGAGTATCTCTCTATTGTTCTTTAGTGATGAAATGTTATCGATTTTGTTTTTCAACGTAAAGAATTCATTAAATGCAATATATCTTCTTCGTCAAAGCTACTCTAATAATGAATATTTCAAACTTCAAAACAATTTATTTTTATATAACAGGAGGCTCACCTAATGGACACTCACATTGCCAGAGGGCTCGCAGGTGCATTGCCGGCCTTTTAAGAATTAGTTCGATCTTTTCTTGAAGGACCCTAAGTCGAATTGGTTCGGAAACACTTCAGTGGGCGGCTGGCAGTTAGTGATGGTGCGTGGCACCACCACAAACTGCCTTACAAACGCTCAGTGATACGAGTTATTATACGGTGATACGGGGTATATTCTGCCTTGACATCCAAACAACCCCTCTGTACACTCGCTATGGTAAATGCTGTAGAAGATGCAGACTGCAGAGAGACCGCACATCTTTACACAGCGTCAATACTATATTGGATTTAATGGTAAAATTCATGTGTGTTTTTCTCCTTTCAATTAGAATAAGACATAAGCGAATATGTTCCTGATTTCATTTCAAAGCGAATTATTACTGTAACAACAATATGCCGAAAATCAATCCCAGTTGTTAAATAAATGAAATGTATGTTATATAAATCAGCAAACTAAGACTCAGCTACGATTCAGCGTTTAATAGATTCTGAGCGACACAGATGTCCAATGCTACGGCTAATACCTTATCGGCTATCAGACGAATAATTACGTCATTAATGGCGTATTATAGGTGAGCTGCTACTTAATTACTACATACATAAGTTCACAGTTACTGAAACAATATTATGATACTTAAACAAAACGACTATTAACTGATGTTTGTCCTAAGTACATATTGAACTGTTGAAATATCCAATAACTAATGTAAATATTTACCAAACACAGCGACGGTAGTAACATCCAGCTCGGCCAAGGAGGGCGCGAGCGCCAGCAGCGCTGTGAGCGCGGCCAGCAACGCCCGCCCACACCTCGGGGCCCCCATGCCTCCCGCTGCGCCCGCGTCACATGCCAATACACCTGAAATATAATAATAAATAATGAATATGAAAACATCTTTGCTACTTGTCTTTCACGCAGGTCACAGTTGAACCGAGTGCGACAGGTGCGGTGAGGGAGATATCCAGAACCTCTTGAGCGTCAAACGTCACTGAGAATGACATGGAGGCGGGGATGTAAAACAACATAAATGATGACTCATTTGTTTATCAGTTAAAATAGATTGGTTAAAAGGAAAGAGGGATTGTGTCGGGTGTCTGCAATTGGAATTAGCCTTTCGTATAATACCCTCGCTTATAGATCTTTTTGCATCACTATTATCTACGGAACGCTTTACTCTATCGGTCAATATAAAAATACATCGATTTTACTAATTCTTAATTTTCATTAGCTTTTTTCGAAAAATTTAATTATGTAATTAAGATATAAAATTTAAGAGAATTATTAAAATACAAACTTGTAAACATACCCATACTAATCTACTAACGGTTGCTAAGCACCTAGACCTCATAACATAATCATTGACTCTTTGAAGCCCTTACCTGATTTATCTTTTGAGTTAAAACAAAATTAAATAGAGTTGTTTAGAAACAATATAAATAATAGAATTATGTAAAATACTTCATTATGAATTCATTGCACTTTAATATACCCGTATTTTGTATGTAGGTATTTCATTGAGTCGTTTTTCTTTAAAAGCAGTCAAAGTAAAAAATCATTTAATAATATAAGTAACACAATGTACAATTATGTACGTCAAAAAAGAAATGTATATGAAATGCTTCTAACTTTACATTTAGTGCCAGTTCTCAAATCAAGGACGTAGAACGGAAGAGAAGAACTGGCAATAAACTCTCCGCCACTCTTTTTAATCGCCATGTTTTTTTTACACAACGTTTGTAAGGAGTTGCCACCATTACACCATGTTCATGACATCTTAAGTAATTGTAAATAATAAAATAAATTAAAAACAAAGACTTGTACTCTATCAGCAGGAGGCATGGTGAATCTGACAAACGCCAATTGTTTTTACTTAACATCCTACTAATATTATAAACGCGAAAGTTTGTAAGTATGGATGGATGTTTGTTTGTTACTCTTTAACGAAAAACCAGCTGAATGGATTTTAATGAAACTTTACAATAATATAGTTTATATATCAGAATAACACATAGGCTACAATTTATAAAGATATTGTGCGAATTGTCCAAAATATCAAGTAAGTAATAAAAAATCTACCAACTGCGTGCTATTCTGGTGTGCGCTGCTAAAACCGCTAGAGTTACACATATGTAATGTACATATGATGGACATGTTTATCTTAAATAGTCGTACAAAAAAGCCCGCCACAGCATATATCTATAATCTATATCTTATGTTTAAGTCATTATAGCCAAAATAGTGAACCATAACCACAAATTGATAATTTATTTCATACTTTAAATAACTTTTTAAATTAGATACTTTTATCGCTTCTGGTATTTAAAGTAGATAAAATATGTCGTTCACGCTACATCATTTGGACAAATATTATTTTAATCCTGCGCAGACGAAGTCGCGGGCACCAGCTAGCATAAGATAAAGATGGTGGACGCGCGGTGTAAGCGATTCTACATAAATATTCCCTTTTTGTTTTCATCTCTATCCGATAACCTCTCAGAACAGCAGACTGGACATAAAGATCCTTCTAGAACTTACTATTTCTTCCTTAGATCTATCTAAGATCACTTTCATACGGAGTGACTACAGCGTGATTCGTTACAACCAAATTATAATAACAAGCCTAGCAAAATTTTGTCATATCATATGTAAATTTCTCGTATTAAGTGTACTGTCTGCTTTATAAATCTAAATTACTATTCTTAACAAAAATATTAAATAATCAATGTTCGATAGCTTCTGTTAATAACCTTGAACTTTATGTATCACAATCGACACTAATACGATTATTAATCTTTCATTTCTTAAAGACTTAAATACAGTTTTTTTTAAATCATAAAAATTGACTCATACCGATTCTATTAGACATATGTGTTTCTATCGAATTATGTGTATGCTATAATAAAGAGATAATGCTGTACCTAAAAGTGTTATTATACTTAATAAGTTTTTTAAAATTGTTAATATGGAACATATTGATACGAAATCGTATTAATACTATAAAAAAAAGTGTGTGTGTGTGTCAGCTACGACGCACGATTGGGGTTTACTCCTTACGAACGATAAAATGGCGATAATGTTCTGTGGCTGTCGACCATATTTTCATACTAAAGGTGGTAAGAATATATGTTTTTATAATATAAATGTTTGTAGTAGTAATAAAACGTACCTACATCATCTATGTATAGTAAGAGAAGAATAAGAATGAACAATCTTTTTAGTTTTAATTTCACTGACCATTACTATTAACAAAACTCTATGGCACGCTAGACAATCTACTTTTATTTTTTACCTGTCAAGTGTCAACACTGACAATGTTGTAACGTGGCTGTCAAAACGTGAATTCAAAATAGAAAAGTCTGTGTAATGTATTCCATCTCATTCTTTTACACGTTCAATCCATTTGTCTCTTTCTACATAACGCCTCTACTTTTCGTGTTACACTTGATTTTACTCCTCATAAAATTTCCGTACCGGGCCTTATAACTCAAATCGTTTCTTAAGGAGTAAACTCCAATAATTATAAATATAGTTTAAGTAAATGATACATACTGTGGGACTTTTAATACCATCACAAAGTTACCCATTTTGACACATATGTAATGTCGTTCAGAAAAACCTTTTTTATCAAGGGGTTTTCACTTGCACATTGCACCTTAGAACCCAACGTTTTGAAATAACCTACGGGCGCCTAAACACTATTCCGAAAATAAACTACAAAACCAACTAATGTTACGTTTTGCGGTATCATACTACAGTTCACTGTTGATAAATTTTGAGTCATTTCCGTCACCGCACCTAGAACGTCAAAGTCCTATATTTTTGACATTTACCATCAAAACTTTATGAACTATGCACACGAAATTCAGTACATCGTATACGTTTTGTATTTAATGGGGCTCAAAACCGTGGTGGGTCTGTTTTAAAGCGCTGGCATAGATGAAAAGTATTAAAAGCATTTTGTGATGCTACAAAAATGAGGGATATAATATATGCTATTGTTTCGTTTCAATGCCAAGATTAATACATTCTCCTTTTTCTTTTTTTCATGGTAAAATGGTACCTATCTATATCTTAGAGAAGTGTTACAATTCGATTGTCTATTTATTTACCTTTGATTTTATTACCAAGTATTGTAATACGATTATTGTTTTTTTTTTTATAGAACGGCGGGCAAACGGGCAGGAGGCTCACCTGATGTTAAGTGATACCGCCGCCCATGGACACTCTCAATGCCAGAGGGCTCGCGAGTGCGTTGCCGGCCTTTTAAGAATTGGTACGCTCTTTTCTTGAAGGACCCTAAGTCGAATTGGTTCGGGAATACTTCAGTGGGCAGCTGGTTCCACATAGTGGTGGTGGTGCAAAAACTGCCTTGAAAAACGCTCAGTTGTGGAACGGCGGACGTCGAGGTGATACGGGTGGAATTTCGTATTCTGCCTCGACGTCCGATGATGAAACTCAGCTGCAGGTATTAATCCGAACAACTCCTCTGAACACTCTCCATGGTAAATGCGGTAGAAGATGCAGAGTGACCCCACATCTCTACGCAACGCCAAAGGATCAAGCCGCTCGGAGAGGGATTGGTCGTCGACGATTCGAACCGCTCTGCGTTGTATACGGTCAAGTGGAAGGAGCTGGTACTGGGGAGCCCCCGCCCAGAGGTGAGAGCAGTACTCCATGTGGGGCCGAATTTGCGCTTTATATAGTTGCATGCGGTGGCCCGGAGTGAAGTACCGTCTCGCCTTGCTGAGCACACCAAGCTTTTTGGAGGCTAATTTAGCCTTACCCTCCAAGTGACCGCGAAATTGAACGTCGCTCGATATGTCAACGCCAAGTATTCCAATGCTGGCTGTGGCTTTTAGAAGAGTGTTTTCGAAAAGAGGAGTAGCGACAAAGGGTGTTTTTTTAGCGGAAAACGCGCAAACTTGTGTCTTCTTGGGGTTAAATTGGACTAGGTTTTGTCTGCCCCAATCTGAGACTCCACGTAGTAGAGTTTCGACTTCAGACACAAGTTTGTTCCGGTACTCATCAACAACTGCCCGAGAAATACCTGCCCGGCCAGTGTAAAAAGTATCCCCAGTGCTGTCATCCGCATAGCAATGAATGTTGCTAAGTTTCAACATATCATTGATATGCAGAAGAAATAGGGTCGGGGATAGAACACAGCCTTGTGGGACCCCAGCGTTTACGGGTTTTAGGTCGGAACATGCTCCGTCGATGACGACCTTGATGCTCCGATCGGCCAGAAAGCTGGAGATCCAATCGCGTAATTTCTCGGGAAGCCCATAGGCTGGAAGCTTCGAGAGCAGTGCTCTGTGCCACACCCGATCGAAGGCTTTCGCTATGTCCAAACTAACCGCTAGCGCCTCCCCCTTGGACTCAATTGCCTCTGCCCATCTATGTGTAAGGTATACAAGAAGGTCACCAGCCGAACGACCACGACGAAAGCCGTACTGATAATCGCTAATCAGCTGGTGGCCCTCTAGATACCTCAAGAGCTGGCAATTAACAATGGATTCCATTATTTTGGAGAACAAGGAGGTTATAGCTATTGAGCGATAGTTGGACGGATCAGAGCGATCGCCTTTTTTAGGGATCGGATGTATCAAAGCGGTCTTCCAACACTTCGGGACAGTGCCGAGCGAGTACAGGTACCGGAAAAGGCGCGTTAAGACCGGAGCCAACTCAGGAGCACAAGTACGCAGCACAATTGGGGGGATACCATCCGGCCCGCTCGACTTATGAATGTCCAAGGAAGATAGTGCTTTGCGGACAGCTCGTTGCCGGAATGTGATTTCCGGCATCGAAGAATCACACCGCGAAATG